AACTAACGGACCGATAAGCTAACGCGACCGCGGCTACGCGGCTACGACGCGGGAGCTAGGGTAAATAGAGGCGCCCGCGAGTCGGGCCCTTAGAGAGAGACTATTACCTATAACCCTAGGCCCGGGCTAGCGAGCCCGGGCCGCGGCCGCTTAGGATAGTAGCGGCTATAGCCTAAGAGGGCCTACGCTAAGACGCGATTTTATAGGAGGAGCCCGCGGTAGCCGGCGTAAATTTCCCATATACTACTACTACGACCTTATTTAAGGCAGACCCGCACTAAAAGAGAGGAGGGTTTTCCCTTAAGTACTTTAGTTTTTCCCTCTTATTTAATATTAAAGTTCTAGATACCTCTAGCTAGGTCCCTAGCGTAATCTTAATAATAACTAAGGATACTACCTTAAAGTATAAAAGAAAGCTATAAGAATTATACTTCCTAAGTATAATAAGCTAGACTATACTATCTCTAAGGCCTATAAGGTTATAAGTTTACTTAACTACTTAGGAAAGGTCCTTAAAAAGCTATATACTACCTAGCTAACCTAATTAGCTAATATAGCTAAGCTTCTAAATCTTATATAGTTAAGGGGACGAAAATAATAGTTAGTTATAAATATAGCCTTCCTCCTTTTATATTATATTTAAAAGAAGTAGTAGTTTAATAAGAAGGCTATTACTAGTACTCTCTTATTAAATATAAAAGGCGCTTTTAATTTTATATTAAAGGAATAGCTTATAAAGGTCTTAAAGAACTTAAACCCCTTTAAGGCCTTTATAAGCTAAGTAGACTACTTCTTTACTAAAGGGAAGATCTAGCTAGCCTTTAAAGGGTAGGTCTAGCCCTTTATAAACCTAGTAATAAAGGTGCCCTAAGGGTCCTTTATTAGCCTTATTTTATTCCTCTTATATATAAAAGGGATACTAATAGCTAAGGGATACTAGCTATCTTATATAGATAACTTTAGTATCTTTATAATATTAACCTTAACTAAGAAGAACGTTTAATAGCTAGAAGTAATAGCTATAAATATATTTAAATAAGCTAAGGAAAAAAGGGTTTACTTTAACTACTTAAAGATAGAACTTATTTACTTTAATAGGTATAGGTAGCTTATTTAAAAGGGTATATTAGTAGGAGGCCTATTTTTTAAGGTAAAGCCCTTAGTATAGTAGCTAAGAGTCTTTATTAACTTTAAGCTTCTATTTAAATAATATATTAAGAAGAAGGTAGCCTTTATATAAGCTACTATTAAAAGACTATCTTACTTAACCTTTATATAAAAAGGCTTATTATTTAGAGCCTTTAAATAGCTTTACTAAGCTTATATAACCTTTATAATAAACTATAAAGCCTAGCTTTAGTATAAGGCGCCTAAGACCCTTAAGAGCTTTATAAAGCCTTTTTAATAGCTTTAAAACTAAGATCTTTTAAAGGTCTTAAGGGCCTTTAAAAGATCCCTTATTAGGGCTTTAAAAGCTAAAGCGGCCCTACTACTACTAAAGGTATAGCTTAAAAGGGTATACCTCTCTTATACCCTTTAAACCCTATACTTCTTACCTAGTTACCTTATAAAGTAAACTTATAACCTAGCTATATAAGATAACCTTATTAACTTAAGCTTTAACTTAAAGGCCTTAAGCTATATTAAGCTATATATATAGCTCCTTTACCTCCTTAAAAGCATAGTAGCTCTTATAAGACTTAATTATAACTTAGAAAAAAGGAAAGCTAGCTAGGAGCCCTTATAGGCCTTAGAGCTTAATACCTTTATTATAATAATAAAGGCCCTTAAGCCCTTAGCTAAGAAGTAGTACTAATATCTTTTAGCTAGCCTAGCTAGCCTAAAAGACTTTAGGTTATAGCCCTTAGCCTTTATATTAACGGCTTTAAGGAGTGCTTTAAAGGGTCCCTTATAAAGACTAATACTTACTCTTTTTATAAAATAAGCTTAGAAAATAAGCTTATTAAAGCATACTAAGAGAACTAAGGGCCCTTAATTAAAGTAGCTAATATAGAGCTATTCGCGATACTAAGGTTCTTAGAGGACCTAGCTAAGAAGCCTTAGCTTTAAAGGCTTAGCCCCCTTAACCCTTTTATAAATACCTATATCTTTATAGATAGCTAAGCCGCTATAAGGAAGGTTATAGGTTTCTTAGACTTAGCTATATATATTAAAAGGCTTCTATTTAGCTTAGTAGCTTTTTATAATATATAGCTATACTAATACCCTAGCTACCTAGGGATCTTTAATAATAAGCTAGCTAACTAGCTTACTAAAAAAGGCTTAAGGGCCCTTACTTAAAGGGCCCCCTTAGTCTTTATTAGCTACTTTTAAAGAAAGGTTTAGTAAGCTATTAAGGACTATTAAAAGGGACTCTAAGCTACTAAAGCGGCTAAAGGCCTTAAGGCTAAGGGCTTAGGTAAGTACTATATATTTATTTAAAAGGCCCCCTACTTAGCCCTTAGCCTAGAAAAGGACCTTATAAAAAGGCTTAGGCTAACCTTCTTAGCCTTTTACTAGCTTCTCTTTAAAGCTAGCTTCTTATTTTCCTTTTTAAAAAGGACTAATAAGGTAGACTAAAATAACTACTACTATAGCTAAGGAAGGTATATAGCTAGGCACCTTATACTAAGGTACCTAAACTATAGGAGGGAAAGAGAGGTCCTTTACTAGACCTCTAAGAGATAAAAAGGGGCCCTTAACTTACTTATTTTTTATAGCTTTAAGGAAGAAAGGGAAGCCCTTTTAACCTTCTTAGCTAAAATAAAGATAGGAATAGCTAAGTAGCTTAAAAAGAAGTAACCTAGGGGCCCTAGGGCCTTTAAAAGGGAAAATCACTATATAAGAGGAACTAAACTAACTATTCCTTTATTATTACTTTTATAGCTATACTTTCTTTAATTAGTTATAAGCCCTTATACTTTATAGCTAGCTAGGACTACTAGTAAGGGCCTAGGTCCTTACTAGCCTTACTATAGCCTTAAAGGCTATATATAAGTAATAATAAAAATTTATTTTAAAGATTAACTTCCCTTAAGAAACTTAATTACTAACTTTAAATAAGAATATACTTATAAAAAGAAGTTATAACTACTTATAAAAAGGGAAAGTACTAGTTAAATCTTTAAGAAAGTAAGTACCTAAGCTAAATATATTAGCTATAAGTAGTACGTTAATAGCTTAATAGGCTAGTAAGAGAATTACTACTTACTATAAGTAATATATAATAAGAAGCTTTTATTAAGCTAGAAATATAGTAATCTAGCTAAGTAAAATATCGAAAAATAGCTAAAGGACTATTTAGATAAGAAAGTAAAATACCTAGCTTAGACCCTTAACTCTTACCTTAAAGGAAATAAACTAATAGATACTATTATTATTAATAATAAGCTAGGAAAGACTATTAATATAGTTATTTTATCTAAGGTAAATATAGCTATTAAGGGAACGCTATTACTTACTAATAAATTAATATATAACTTAAGGGCCGATATTAACCTCTTTAATAACTTAGTATAGTTTTAAGAAGGAACCTTTAAGTAGGGTTCTAATAATAAAGTCTAGGTAAAAAACTAAGCCTTTAAGGTATAAGGAATAAAAATAATAGTTATCCCTATAATTAATAGTAGAAAGATAACTTTATAAGATACTTACTTTATCTTAGAAATACTAATAAGCGTCTTCTTAGCTAAGCTAAGGATAATAGTAAGGATATTTTAAAACTAGCTCCTAGGATACTTTTATTTATAATTAATAAAGGATATTTATAATAAGAATACTCTTATAGTATAAAAGGTAGGTATTTATAGTTATATAAGTGCCTAAGCTACTAATTAAGGGGGTAGGTAACTTATAATATCGCTGCCTTAAGTATCTTAGTCTAAGATTACTAAGAAGATATTAAAAGCTAGCCTAGGTACTAAGCTTTAAGGCCCTATAATATATAGCTATTAAATATATATAATAAGGAAAGCTAAGAAAGAAGTCTTAAGAAAAATACTATCTTTAAAGCCTAAAGTTCTAAGGGTATAAGTTAGCTTTAACCTTTACCCTAGCCCTAAAATAGTATATAATAGAAAAAAGAACTTTACTTTATTTAATAATATAAATATATTTATAAGGTTCTATTATATAATAAAAGAAAAATAAGTATTAAAGATATCTTTAATAACTTTATAGCGTTAATTAAGACTTAGTATAATATAATTAAGACTTAGTATAATATAATTAAGACTTAATATAAAGTTAAGATAACTATATTAGTTATTAATAAGGAAAGGGCTCTTTTAATAATAAAATAAATAGATTATATAACTAATTTAAGGATATAAGTTATATAGTTAGCCCTTTTAATACCTATATAAAATAGTTATATAAAGAGATTAAAGGTAATAAAAAGGAAAAAGGTAAAGGTTATAAGGCTTAGCTAAAAGCCTTTAAAAGAGCTATAGCTAGAGATATACTATATAGCGGTATACCTACTTAATATAATACCCTTTAAACTATATAATTATAGCTAGTAAAGCCTATATAAGCCTTAATAAGCCTAGAAAAAAGAAAATAATTTATTATATTACTCTAATAAACTATGAGACGGCGGATTTACCACCCGTTTGGACGGTCTCTGCCACCAAAGGTGGCGGCCAATTTGCCAGGAATCCAGAGCGAGAACGGACAAATGTATCGCCGGGCTCATCCCTCCAAGTATCTCCGATGTACTTGGCATGTCACCCATCATGCTCAGCCCGCAGAGCCACGTCGGACGCCTCCGCGGCCCGTTTAAGCTGTGTGCCTTCCGACACCTCTTTCTAGCCTCAAAAGAAGGAGCCACAAAGCGCTCAGAACGGTGGCGTCGCATAGGTCATACCAAGCTCTTACTCCGCCTCAAATTTTGGTAGCATCTTACCTATTACACAACCAAGCATTACTGTGGAAACTCTTTCCTCTTGCCAGCTCACGGAAAGCCGCATCCCGCTGACTTATACGATCCATTGTCAACCATGACGCGCCGAGCACGCCATTCCGCCATCCCTTACGACTCGGACGCGTCTTACTCCCCCGAGAACGAATTTGACGATGGTGGTCTCTTTGACAAAGTTGAGCCCCTTCACTCGGATACGTATGCGGAGGCAACGGATGTAGAGGACTTGAACTTCGATGACGCAGACGGATTCGTCGACGCTGACGTTGAAGACCAAGTCCAGCTCTTCGGTGGCAACGTTCATCCACCTGAGTACTACCGGGAAGCCGTTGAGAAATTCAACGAGACCGCCTACGAAGCTCAAGACTATAGCGACGGTAGTCTACTGCTCCTCGATGCCTGCGACGCACAATGGCGCCAGTACGTCACCAACGACATCATGTCCCTTATGACTCCCAGCCTCTAACATGTAATGGTCCTACCTCAGGTACTGCGAGGTGCTGGGTTGTGACCCCCAAAAATGTTTGGAGTCTGTCTCCGAGTCCAGCTCCCTGCGGCTTTTGTATAACTTTTTTGACTGGTCCCTCAACCAGAAGGTCGGTAAGGATGGCAGGAAAAGGCGAGGAACGAGGAAGAGCAGCTCTTTGAGCACATACTGGAAAGTCTTCCGACTCGTCTTCGAGAGAGCCACTGGAGACAAACTCGACCCGAAACTAAATCGGCGTATGCACAAGGTACAGCCCGATCCTCCGAATAATAGGTCAAAGGTAACCCTGCAGGTTCTCCGAGACCTCTCAAAAAACATGACTTGAGCGACCAGAGGCGAGCGAATCGATGCATGACGATCGAAGATCTCAAGGAGCAAATCGAAACGACAATTAGCACGACAAAAAATCGTTCAGGCTTGGGAACTTCGGATCCTTGCTGTTCTCTTTCTCCTTCTTCTTGCACCCGCTGGAGCTCGCCCCACATCCATCCTGCGTCTCCGGTTTGGAGACATCCGGCTCGCACTGGTGAAAGACCCAGAAGGTGGACCGCATAATATTTTGATTCGCTTCACCTTAGCCTTCACGAAAACGTACCTCGGTGTCAAAGATGCGTAAGGACGCCAGAAACGCCGTGCTTCATCTGCTCGTAGGATATGGCGCTGACGCGAATCTAGGAAAACATTTCCTCTTCCAGAGACCTTAGCCGACCCTTCCTTGCTACTCAATCCTCACATCTTCCTGCTAGGCATTCTTTTCCGCCATCGCGCGTTCCGAGCAACAAGTCTCAATTCACCCGCACAGCTTGCCAATCTTGATATCCACCCTGAGGAGCGGGAGCTACCTCTGCCGCTCAAGGACGATCTAAAAGACACATATATATTCCGACGGGCTATGAAAACCTTTACCGGCTATGAGCTATCCCAGGACAAGCCTCTTTCTTACCAGATGATTGCACAATGGATCAGAAGGGTTGGCGAAATATTGGGGTTGGAATACCCCACCATCCCCTACAACTTGCGTTATAATGCGGCCAATGAGTTCGATCGAAGTGGTTCGTCAAGTCCTCCTATCACGATAGCCTTGTTGCTTACTCCAGCTTCAGCCGATATCAGCGAGTCGCTGCGAAATCTTGCTCTAGATCACGCCAATTCGAATCCCTTTCAGAAGCACTACCTGGGACGGGAGGTTTGCGCGGATACTTGGGGTATTCTCCGGCGACAAAAACACAGCAGGCGCTCATAAGGCAGGCCTGCAGCGTCGGCCACTCTATCAGCAAGCGGAGACCCACGGATCTCACAGCTGAACAAATAGCATCCGTGTCTACTGATCCTATCATCAAGCGACTAGAGCAAGACCTTCGGCATCATCGCCCAGGTTCAAAGAAGCACATGGAACTCCGCCGTCGACTGAGGAACGAGAAGCAAAGATTGAAGAGGGTGCTTAAGCAGAAGATTCGAGATGAATGGACTGCCAGACAGGCGGTGGACGACATTGAGGGCAATTGCAAGGTATTGGGTTTGTCAAACAAGCGACTGTGAACACTCCCATTTGTCCTCAGCGACCGGCTCAAAAGCGATTGGTTGAGGCCCTCGCCGCTCCACTTGGCAACACGCTCGAAGGTCAATATCGACGGAGAGACAATGCTATCGCCGCCATCGTAGCTTATTGTATGGTCGAGGAAGGGCAGACGATCCGCGGCGCTCGAGCGTCGGTCGACTCAACTAGGCCTACTCTCATGAACGAACCGCCTATCAACAGCCCTCAACACACGGCTCTGATGTCCACCTTCATTAAGACAGTCACGGACAGGCCTCGAAGATGCTTCATCTGTGTCGGCAAGGCCCTTGATTTGACATCAGATGATGGGGCCGTGGAGGTTCTCATTCGCGAGTTTACACTCCTGGAGACCTGTCCAAGCACTTCCGACGCAAGCACTTGTCGAATTTACGCGAGGGCGATGAGATTAGATGTTCGATCTGCGATTTGCCACTGGACCATATGGAGCATCTGCGGAACCATGCTCTACGAATACACGGAACAGTGTCCTAAGTGTTGAAGTGGGTCATCAGAAACCCTGAACCCCTGAAAGGCTCTCTGAGGAGCCTCTGACACTAGCTTGGAAGTGATATATTAAGGTGGCATTTCTCTGTATTTACTCACAGATTTCTTCAACCTTCAATGAACACTTCATCCGCTACACAGCCTTCAACAGGTTATGAGCCCGGAGGCCAACTGCAAAGAGATGAGTTTGACCAAACAGCTTAATCACACAGCTAACTACACAGCAAGCACAGCAGCACGATAACCGCAAAGATCCTATAGGCTCTCGCGCCTCTTCCACTGCGCACCATGACAGTCACCTCTCTTGCACATACAGACAAATCGAATCTGCTATCACGAAGCTGAAATCGACACAATCTCCCCTTTACGACTGTGCCGAATACACCCAGGAGCCACATTGACCCAATCCTCCTACAATTCCTAACACTACTGATCTCGCAGGGGCTGAAATTTGAAGGTGTGCATAAGAAAAGGGGTAGTGGCTGAAACCAAGGGGGAAAATGGTCCCATCCAAGGATCCGCGATGTGTCAAGTGCAAAGGCATCGTCCTCAGCAGCCCGCTCGCCTCCTCCACAAGACACAGAGCCCTTTGCCAGCCCAACACACTCGTCTTCCTTATAGCTAGCAAGCGTACGGTCAAAAAGCACGTGCTGCAAAGCATCCTCAGCAGCAACGATGAGCACGTCCAACTCCTCAGGCAGCAGCCTCTCGATGTCCAGCGTCACTGGGATCCTCAAGCTGTCTTCACAAACCGGATGGATCACCTGGAACAGGGAGATCAGGGACCTGCTAACCGTGGCAGGGTACGGAGACCTTCTTCCGGGCGGTAGGAAAGCCGTCCAGCCAGCCCAGCGAGACGAAGAGTCAGAAAACGTCTTCGAAGATAGGCTTGAAATCTGGCTAGACAGACAGACCAGGGTTAAAGCAGTCCTCTGCAACCGACTTAGCTTTCTAGCCCGTGAGGATGTCAAGCACCTAGAAACGGCCGCGCAGATCCTCCAAGCCATCGAGGCGCGCTACAAGCCCAGTGGCAGCGCTTGCTTCCAGGAGCTGGATAAGAAGTACATGGACCTGACTCTCGATGTCTGTACTGATGTCATGGACTTCGCCGAAAAACTCCGACAAGCCCGCTCAGAGCTGCTAGAGCTCGACGTCTCTTGTCAAATCGGGGAACCCCAGTTCATCAGCAAGTTCCTCACAGGGCTAGGTCTAGCCTACGAGGTGTTTCTCACAGCATTCTATCAGCAACACAACCTGCTGCCAAAGAGGGACCTTGCTGGAGCGGTCAAAAGACCAGCAGTCTCCTTCGAAGAAGCCATCGCCGCTGCTGAACACGAAGAACAGAGCCAGAAGCAACGAGGCGCCACCGCCGGTCAAGCTCTTGCCATGACTCGAGAGACAGAGACGCCCGTCTGCACCCACTGCAAAAGGAAAGGACACACCGTGGATAAGTGCTTTAGAGTCCATCCAGAGCTCAAGGCCGACTTCGACAAGAGACATGCAGAGAGACTCAAAAAGAAACAGGATCATCGCGGCAGGCAGGAGCCCACTACATCTTCCACTACACCTTCCATCACAGATATCCAGACCGCCCTAGCCTACTTGCAAGGTCAAGCCAATGACCAACCACAGTCGCAGTCACAGGCTCTTGCCAACCTCGCTATGCCCCGTTTCACCTTCCCATGCACGATACACCTCGCCCCTCCTGGTGCTGCCAATCCAGTGGGAGTGCGTGATGATCTGGATCCGGCAGCACTGGCCGCTCAGCACACGCTGCTTTCACAGATCCACATCCTCGACACAGGCGCCTCACAGCACATCTTCTGCCGCCGAGGCAAATTCGGGCCCCTTGCTCCGTACACTGGTCTTCCCTACGCAGGGGCCAAGGGAGCCCAATTCCTGCCCATGGGCGCCGGCAGCTATGACCTGCCAGTGAAGGTCTGTGGGAAAGACCACATGCTGACCTTCCAAGACGCCCTCTGTGCCCCTGACGCAGGCGTCAACCTGGTGTCCGTCACAGCTCGGCAAGCAGGGTGCTGGATCCTGGCAATGGCGAGCACGCTGCCATCGTTAAAGGCGGCCAGATTGTGCTGACGGCCACTGTGGCTAATGGTGTCTACGTGATTGACGAGCCAAACAGAGACATCAACGCCGCACTGGCTAGCCTGCGTACTCGGGATCCTGACCTGACCTTCTGGAACGAAGCTACTGATGAAATCAGGCGTCATAGCAACCTTTCTGTCGTCAGCAGCGACCCAGCTGCCCTCGTCACCTCGCAGGTCCAAGATCCCAACCTACGCATCTGGCACGAGACTGGCCCACCTCAGCGAGCGCAACATCAAGAGGCTGCAAGGGATGTCCACTGGTCTGCGACCCCAATCGCCACAAGACCCGTGCGAGGCCTGCGCTATTGGCAAGATCAAGGAAGGATCTCATAGGCACTCTATTCGAAAGGGAACCTGGCCGCTAGAAAGTCTGCATATTGACATCTGTGGGCCGTTTCCGGACACTGGATACGACGGCAGCAGATACTGGGTGGCCATCCTAGACGACTACACTCAGTACGGATGGACCTTTAGCGTGGCCACCAAAGACAGCCTCTTCCCGATCTTCCAGGCGTTCCTTCAGAAGCATGAGACGCCTACCAGGCGATGCCTCTACGTGCGGATGGACCTAGGAGGTGAAAATCGCTCCACGCTGCTAGATGCCTTCTGCACCGACAAGGCGATCGAAGTCATCTACGCCGCCACGGAACAGCACCAGCAAAACGGGGCCATTGAGGTCTTCCATAGGGTCCTAAGCGAGAAGCTCAACCCTACGCTAATTCGGTCCGGCCTCGAGCGCAAATGGTGGCCCTACGTACCCAGAGCATCACCTACGTCCGCAACTTGTCTCCTACAGCCAAGTTACCTACCACACCGTACGAAGCCTGGCACGGCGAAAACCTGATGTTACCCATCTTCGAGTCATCGGATCAAAGGCTGGGCACTACTGCCAGCAGCCAAACGCAGGAAGCTGCAGCCTAAGGGTATCCCGTGCAGAATGCTGGGGTACCAAGGGCACTGTAACTACATCCTGCTTGATAGCAGCAACAGGGTCTTCGTGTCTCCCAACGTCATCTTTGTCGAACACGTCGCCAAGCCTACGGTCTCTGAAAGACAGCCCAAGAGGCCCAAGACTGGCCAAAGCCTTGGCCAGCTGATCCGGGAGGAAGGCCAGCAAGCCGAATGTCCGCCTCGGACACTTCGCAACGGCAACAATACAACAGCCGACACCGCGTCTCTCTACACACCAGCAACTTCCACAGCGCTCTCGCCCGAGCCTGAAGATAGCCAAACCTCAGATTCCACGCGAGACCTGTCTGACAGCTCTGAAGACAACATAGTGTCCCATAGAGACGAGTCGGACGACAGTGCCCTGCTCGACCTGCTGGAAGAGACAAGCCCCGAACCATCTGTTTACTCAACTATCCATGCCGCTGCTGATCCGATCAGGCCGTCGGTCAGAAGGTCCACCAGACAAAGAGTTCCCCTCTGCGCTATGGCTATAATTTCGATCACGCCTTCGCAATGGCTATGGCCATCTCACAGCAATGGAAGACCACGAGCCCCTTGCCTTCAAACAGGCCATGCAGTCAGATAGCGCCAAGAACTGGCACGCCGCTATGGCGGACGAAATCCAGTCCCTGCAGGTCAACAAGACCTGGGAGCTCACTGACCTCCCGCCAGGCAGGAAGGCCCTACGAGGGAAGTGGGTTTATAGGCTGAAAAGAGGGCCCGACGGCCAAATCGTCCGCCATAAGGCCAGATTCGTTGCAAAGGGCTACGAGCAACAGGAAGGCATCGACTACCGGTATAGCGAAACCTTCGCCTCAGTGGTCAGGCCAGAAAGCTACAGAACAATTTTCGCCATAGCCGCCGCTGAAGACCTAGAGATCGAGCAAATGGATGTCAAGACCGCTTTCCTCTACGGGGACATCGACGAAGAAGTCTACCTCGAGCAGCCAGAGGGCTTCGAAGACGGCACTGGCCGCGTCTGCAGGCTCAAGAAGGCCATCTATGGGCTCAAGCAGGCGCCTCGCATCTGGTTCCACACCATCACCAAGTTTCTTGAGACACTAGGCTACAGGCCCATTGCGGCAGACGTCAGCGTCTTCGTCCGTGGCAAGAGCATCATTGCAATCTACGTCGACGACCTACTTCTCACTGGAGCCTGTCCTCGGGAGGTCCAACGGATCAAGGATGCCCTCAGCAAACGCTTCCAGATGACTGACCTAGGTCCCTGCTCCCATTGCCTAGGCATTAAAGTCACTAGAGATAGGGCCAGGCGTCGGATCGAACTGTCCCAGCGAGCCTACATTGAAAAGATCCTAAGGACCTACAACATGTCAGACTGCAACCCAACGGACACCCCTATGGCCGCAGATCCGCTCCAACCACCCGCAGAGGACTGGCACGCCCCTCCCAAGGACCAGGCCGCCTATGCCAAGAGGGTAGGCTCACTGATGTATGCGATGCTCGGCACTAGGAGCGATATCTGCTTCTCCGTTGGCGCCTGCTGCAGACACCTTGCCAACCCAACGCCCCAGCACCAGACAGCTGTGAAACGCATCATGAGATATCTTAAGGGCACCATTGACTATGTGCTAGTCTTAGAGGACCACTGCAGCCGATCCAAGGCTACACTGACGCAGACTTCGCGGCGGACCTGCACACCCGACGATCGACGTCAGGCTTCTTCTACAGCCTCGGCTCCGCAGCCATCAGCTGGACCTCCAGAGGCAGCCCTGTGTCACGCTCTCATCCACAGAGGCCGAATACGTGGCTCTGACCCAGTCAGCCCAGGAGGCCATCTGGCTGCGTTCCCTAATGAAGGACCTAAGCCACCCACAGGCTGGGCCAACAGCCATACACGAGGACAACAAGGGCGCTATAGATCTGGCCAACAACCCTCAGCACCACTCGCACTAAGCATATCTCTTAAGTGGCACTTCATCCGAGAGAAGGTTGCAGAAGGGACCGTCAGCCTTATCAAGATCGAAGGCACCAAGCAGCCTGCTGATGGGCTCACTCAAGGCCCTGCCACGAGATGCCTTCCTCCGTTTCCGGGACTCTCTAGGCGTCAAGTCCGATTAGAAGCACCACACTGCTCAGCCTCTAATCGAGTGGGAGTGTCACAGGCATCTTCGGCCCTCCTTAGGCACTCAAGCCTCTACACACTGACGGAGCTCTGAGGCCACTCCGCGAGATCAATCTGGCCCTCCCTTGGCGAAGACCCTTCTGCAAGAAGGCAGCCACACTGACGGAGCTCTGAGGCCACTCCGCGAGATCAATCTGGCCCTCCATTGGCGAAGACCCTTCTGCAAGAAGGCAGCCACACTGACGGAGCTCTGATGGCCACTCCGCGAGATCAATCTGGTCATCCTCCGCAGTCCAAAGACAGGACTATCGTTGCCGCTGCACGACACCTTGACTGTCTGACAGAGCCGCCCTTCAAGCGAGTTTGAGGTGGGTCATCCGGACCCCTGAAAGGCGCTCCCAGGGGGTTCTGTCAGCCGCTTGGAAGTGGCATATTAAGGAGGTCACCCCCATTAAGGGTCATTACTATTTCACGTTACCTAAAGTGGCGCACTCTTTCCCAATATTTTTCACCCATAAAGAGGTGTTTTTTGGGTTTTAGCGAGGGCCCTAGGAAACAGCACACTGCTGCACAGCACCTTCGCCTGTCTGTCAGAGCCGTCCTCAGAGCGAGTGGGAGTGTTGAAATGGGTCATCAGAAACCCTGAACCCCTGAAAGGCTCTCTGAGGAGCCTCTGACACTAGCTTGGAAGTGATATATTAAGGTGGCATTTCTCTGTATTTACTCACAGATTTCTTCAACCTTCAATGAACACTCAATCCGCTACACAGCCTTCAACACAACGAGCGGGATTTGCGGTAATCCAAGGCGGCTTGTAATCTGGTTGATCGTCCCTGCAACCACATATGCCAAATCGAAGCCTGAAGCTAATCCATATATCTCAGAAGCCAAGACGCTGCGGGTGACTCTCTTGCACTTTGTTGAGCTCCAGTGGATTAGGTTTCCGCGGATCGTGAATGCGTCATCCGAGCAAGCGGTCTCGTTTACGATCATAATAACAAATCCGATTTGAGAACTTAAGTCCTTGTTGTTTGCGAATGATCCATCTGTGAAAACCATGATCTTTGCGGTCGCTAGATCAATCGGTAGAAAACGAAGACCTCTCCTTGGGTTGTCAATTTGCCATTGAATTCGCTTGTTCAACGCCTTAAAATCTTCCGCGGTTGGATCTTGTGATTGTGCAGCGATTGAATAATCGAAGCTGGCCTCTGGTTGACAAATTGAGGCTATGTAGGCGCCACGGGCACGTTGTTCCACGTATCGTTGGGCTCGATCTTCCTTGGAAATATCAACGACGTTGAGGTTACCGGCTTGACCTTTTTGTCTGACGATAACACACCCATTTTCCATAGTGATGTGGCTACCGTTAAAGTCACAGGTGTCGCCTTCTTGTAGGATCCGTTTTGGCTTAGCCTTAAAGCGTAACTCACGAGCTTCTCGTTGTAGGAACGCTGTTGTGCCCACCAATAACGTATCATCAGTCTGGAGTGCGGCAACGCCAAAGCCATCCGCGTTGATCGCTGCGGTTGTGATCATTAAGCATGGGTCAAATGTTGATGGTTCCATCTGCAATTGAGTCCGATGATGTTCGTGATATGTGTTGAACCAATGTGCGCCTGCTTCAGCGATTCCGTACAATGGCTTGACCACACGAAGGATGGTTCCCCCTGGGTATCTCTCTTTTAATTCGTGTGGCAAAGAGATGAGGATAGTGCGATTCAAAGTGGTCGATGCCTGCGTATAGGCCATCGTAATGTCTCGGATAGCAAGAGACATCTTCAAAGAGCAAAGGAAAGGGAAAGAGCGAGTACTACCCGCTGGGCAGGACGGGAGATTGTTGGAGCCTGCGTGAGGATCTCACGCTTCTCGTCGTCACCATATCCTTGTACCACAAGACGAGACTTCTCGTACGGTGTAGCAGTGTTCTTGCCTTGACCTCCCGGACCATTCGTGACTTGAATAGCCTGTGTTTTCCATGCTTATTCATATCGTATCGTTCGGCACGATGACGCCTGCGCCTAGCAGGTTCGTGATTTCGAGGTCATCAGAGGCTTCAAACGGTCGTCCGGCGGTAGTGATTTTCTCTGCACGTAACTTTACGGCAAGGTCGAGGGCGGCGCACTCCTTATGCGATAGAAACATATTAGCGGGTGAAAATTGAGATCGAGGTAACGAAAAAGGGCTAAGACTAAGGAAATAACTAGAAGGAACGAAGGTATCGTATTGCTGCTGATCTCGAGGGACTTTTCTTGGTCTGCCGCGTCTGCGTGGTCTCTCCGGCTCGGGATATTCGAATGGCTTAGGCACTTCGGTCTCAACGTTGATGCTATCAGCCTGATTGTCAGCAGTCTGATTGTCAGCGTGTGGCTGCTGTAGAACATCGTGACTTCGTTGCTGCTGCGAATCCGGGTGGCGAAAGTAGGGCTGGACAGCCGTGCTGCGAAATTTAGCTGGCCCGTTGTCTAGCTCAACTGTGACCTCTGTGTCTGTCACAGCTAGGACCTTGTATGGGCCTTTCCATCCTCCTTTCTCACGAAATACTCGAACTTCACTACCAAGCGGCAATGATAGTGGCATCTTCTCAATCGTGTTGGGCCCATTACGGGCATTGAGGGCGTCATTGACCTTCCTTTAGCTACAAGCTTGCGTAGCTCTGCCATAGCTTTCGTCACGGCTTTCGCACGTGTGATCGCGGAAGCAGAAGGCGGCGAATCCATCGTTATCCGAGGGTAGGCACCAAAGACTAGTAGTGTGGGCACTAGACCGTCAGGTCCGGCGGTATCATTGACGGATTTGAAGGCCATTTGAAGCAACGACTCAGCTGATGCTGTTTTTAGCTCGGCTTTCAAGATCTCGTATGCCCTTCGAATCGGGGCGTGATATCTCTCCACCTTGCCAATTGACCAGTGGGCTTCGACGGGCACTTGGTGACAGGTTATTCCTAGCAGCTTCGCTTCTGCTTGGAACTCAGAGGAGGCAAAATTCGTACCAGCGTCGTGCGTGATAACATCTGGAGGGCCTAGGTATGTGTCAATCCAACACAATTTGAGTGCTTCCCACGTCTCTTTAGCCGATATATTCTGAAGAAATCGTCCGGCTTGGAAAGAGGTTGCTAGGTCAACGGCATGAAGGACTGGCCGGCTGTCAAGATGCATTACATCGACGATCAATTCGTAGTTGAAATCGCAGTTATCCTTTAACGTGAATTTGAACCTGCGCGGTGCGTCTGCCTTGATCTGGCAAAAATGACAGAATTTTCGAATCATCGCGATTGCTTCGAATTCAACATCATGCCCAGCGCTTGTCAGTAGCTTATGTAGCTTGTGTACTGACGGGTGGCCAAAGCGAGTGTGTAGGCGCCGAAGCTCGGCTTCGGATAGGAAGGCAATAGCGGCTTCATCCTTCCGTAGGAAGAACCACGGATGACCCCATTTGCGTACGATCGGAATCCTCTTATCGCCGCAGATCAATTCGTTCGTGACGTTGTTGAGATAGGCACCGAGACGGTCCATATCCTGAGGCATAGCAAGAAGGGCGTTGACATATTGATAACGTGGAAAACGACTTCTCCAATCGGGGTAATGACTGTTGTGATCCCGATCGTGTTCGTCGGCTCGTTTCCACCGAATCTGACCGTTGCGATCGTCGCATTCTTCCGTAGCTGGACCGTCGGCATCTCGTTGGAGCGCGCGGAATTGGTCGATCCCAGCTGTAGATATCTTCGCTGCACCCGTGTCAGGCAGGATCCCTTGGAAAGAGGTCCGGTTGTAGCGATCGAGCAAGAAATGCTGTGATTCCTCGCATATCGATTCTCCTCGACGGTGTGAATGCGGTGGCGAAAAGCTCTATTAGATAGGAAGGCAGCTGCAAAGAAGCTATCGCTTTGATCGTCAGAGTCATCGTCAGCAGAATCAGAGGTCTGATCTTCATCTGGGTCCCCTCGTAATCGGCAAGGAACGTAGTAAATGGACGGGAAGATGACTTCTGGCCGTGAAATCCTCGTTCTCGAAGATATCTTTCCTTGGCCCTCTTCTCTCGTCATCCGGATGCTTCGTTGAAAAACAGCCTTCTTTGCCGCAGACGTAGCAGCGCTTCGTCCACTTCTTCCTTTTGTCAGCGGGTGCTGATAGCGGCGGTCAGTAAAGAATTGGTCTTGATCTTGAAGATATTGACTGGGCTGTCCGGCTGTCTTTGGCTGACGGTTGTGAGTGACGATCTTAGCTGTGAAGATAGTCCTCGAAGGTCTTAGCCGGCACGAAGAGGGCGAATTCTAATTCAGGCACGCCACGGCATGCTCGAATTGTCGTTGAAATTAGCTGGTCTTCGCCGCCATAGCTATTCCCAAGAGCTCTCTGGCATAGCTGCAATTTGTCAAGAAGAGCCTGGAGGATTTCACAGAGAGGCTTCTCGGGAGATTCCTTCCGAAGCTGTGAAATTGATCGAGGTCCAGTCAGTGTGATACTGTTGCCTATTGACTTCCGTATCAAAGTGCTGCTTCATCTTCTGATACATCTCCGCGAACGTTGAATCGCGGCTGACTTGATGCACGAAGAAGTTCTTTGCTCTTCGTGAGGATATTTGAGAACAAAGCGTGGAATTGTGACGGTTTGATGCTAGCTGTGAGGCAGGCATCGAGAAAGTAACGGATCTTATCATCTAGGATATCGTAGGCGTCACCTGAATAGTTGAGCTTTCGATCCCATAGCTTAGAAAACTGGTTGGCGATGGCAGGATCGAGGTCTTCATTGGGGACCTGGACTGGGGCACGGTCCGGTAAGCTTCGCGGTCGATAGCTGGTCTGATCATAAGTTCCTGCTGCTGTTGATTCGAT